ATTTCAGGAAGTCTCGCGTGATTTAATATCCGACATCTGAATGTTCATGAATGAAATATCTGTTCGTGTGTGGTGTTGGCTCTTGCAGTGTGGCTGTACACCACACACTGTAGGACCAAACCTGGTAAATCCATGATGTTTTAGCTTCACGTATGGGCTCTATCAGTCTTTGAAAATCGTCCGACCGTTTTAAAATCTTATAGTGTGACTCAGCCTTAAGTTAGCTAAAAGTTAACTAAGTTAGCTGTTTGTGTTACAATCACCTGTACACCTGTATGAATCAGTCCACCTGATCAGACTGCAACACTTTAAAAAAGCACCTATCAACAAATATAGCAGTTCTCTCTTATATTACAGAAGTATTTTGGAGACTCAGATGTGCATCATTCTCTCTTCTGAGTGAGCAGTGGGAGCTGCCATGTGCCCCTCCAAAAAACACTCAGCCAGCCCAGTCCTCAATCAGCGTTCCTCCCAGCTGCAGTCGGAGCAGGAAATATACAACCCTCTGCTTCCAGGCTGCAAATGAATCRCACATGTGCAAAGCTGCCACTGGCTGATGCATGCAAATGTAAAATTCTCTTTGTCTGAAATGTATTTACCTTAATTTAACCAGGCAAGTCCCACTGAAATCACAGRTCTCTTTTGCAAAGCAGGCCTGGGCCTTAAAGGCAGATTAAATATGCATGTTTTTGGACTGTGGGAGGAAACTAGAATACCTGGAGAAAACCCAYACAAACATAACATGCAAACTTCAAACCTCAGGTCCAAACCAAGGATAGAACCCAGGACCTCCTTGCTATGAGGCAGCAGTGTTAACCATTAAGTCATAGTTCTGGAAATGCTTTCTTAAATATAACAAAACTGTGTCTCTTCTACTTTCGCCAGTCCCAAGTCCAGACAAAGAAGGATGGTTGGAACAGGGATTTCAAAGTTTTCAGGAGTAGGAGACTATTTTGAAAAAGTAGGGGGCTGACCATGCAATTGACCATTTGGGGTCTGAGTGTCCTCCCCCATAAAAAAATAGAAATTTAGAAAATGAGTAATGCATTTGTCCTGGCATTAAAGCTGGGTGATTGAAGAGTCCAAAATGAGCAAGTTTATAAGGAAAATTTCTGATTTTTTTTTATGTTGAAGAGTGATGAGTTATTCTTTGTGATAATATCTGTGTATCATTTCCCAAGAGTTTTATCAATTTACTTTAATTTTTATTGTTCCATCTACTTCTTACAGCTTGTGAAGTAAGAATAAAAAAAGTCTCAGTGTTGAATATTCAAGTGACATTTTATTAAAGTAAAAATAATCACAGTACCAAATATATGAAAACATCATGGCAAATAAAATGATATGAACAAGTTAACATAAAGTTAACACCTGTGATGGACTTGCGACCTGTCCAGGGTGTACCCCGCCCCTCGCACTGTGACTGCTGGATATGGGCACCAGTGACCCACGCAACCCTGAAAAGGAAGAAGCGTGTACAGAAAATGGATGGATGGATGGATGGATGGATGGATGGAAGTTAACATTAGATGTTCAAAGGTTAAAAAAAATAGCTCAAGAACGTCAGCTCTTCAAACATGACACTTGGGTCAGATGACCTAAAGTTATTATAGAAAAAAAGGTTCAAAATAAAAAACTAAAATAAAAACTATCTAATATCCAGCCTAAAACTAATGTAGCAAAGTAATATTATTATTAGTAGTAGTATTTATTAAATTACTTCTAATGGACCAGTAGGTTTAACTGCAGGAGAACAGTGGAGTGTTTATTGGAACCCCATATTATAAAAAAAGAAAAAAAGTCTAAAAATATAACCAAAGACTTGAACAAGTGCTAGTTTTGTTTTTCTATATTGGGTGAATCCTGCTAACCTGAACTTTAAGGTGCAGCAGAATTTCTCGACACATTGTTTGGTTGATATTAATGGTGTCAAAAGTGATGAGGTGTAATAATAGTTAATGTAGCCGTGTTTCACACCTGTGTGACATTTATAAGAAACAGTTGTTTTATACTGTAAGCCTGTAAAACTGCATAAAAGAGGCTCCTGGTTTGACTAGCCATCAGCTTAGTCTGGAGAAAGATTTCTGCCTTTTCTTTGTACTCTGTGTTCTGTGACTGGTATCATGGCTGATAAGGTACTCACTAATGATAACTGTTTGACAGAACATCACTTCAAAGCCACCAGATTATACTTTAATTTTAAAGAACAACAAACATGATGTGCTGGACAGAGCAGGACAATTAGGAAACAATGAGCTCAACTACTTGCACATTCCTTCCCTCACCATGTTACAAACCATAGACCGTGTAGAATGTACTGCTAAAAAAAGAAATACTATTTGATGACAGTAAGCAGTGAGTCAATGATTCATTCTGCCTCAGCGTCTTGGCTCTGTGTCAGCTCAGGCCACCTGAGTTCATCCAAATCGCAGACACCCTGYCCCTCACTGAGCAGCAGATAAGAAAACCTTTAACGTGCTGACATTAACCTTGAAATAATTCAACTCCAATGTTTTAAAATGCTATATTCATCAACAGGCAGAGATTTCTGAACCCAGCCTTGTACTAAACATTCATTTAATTTGACTTGTTGTAATTTGTTCTGTAGGCTATAAATATATGCTAAGTAAAAAAACAAGTTATTGAAAAGATTTATGGTATTTAATCTCTGAAAACACACTTGGTGTTTAATTATTTGTTGTTTTTTACAGAGTGGCAATGCTTTACTTTAAATCTGTTGCTTTGAGGAAACAGGCGTCCTTTCAGCTCGTCTCTGCCTTTAAACTCCACAACAGATAATTCTGTTACACTGCAGATTTCACCTAATGCTGTGCAACACACAGTGTGATACTTTTAGAAAACATCCAAGTAAATGTGAAATGTGAAAATTGCCTAATTTGTGTGTTAATTGACTTTACRTTTTGTTTACTGATTGAGTTAATCAATGATTAAATCTATGTGCATTTAGTGTAGGTAATAGTAAAAACATTGTGATGGTTAATTTTTAACAGTAGTGTAACTCTGGGTTAACGGCATCACTGTGCTACATGTGTTCTGTCAGGGAGACTGTTCAGAGTTTTGCAAACTGGAGATATATGCAAACTGTCTAACCTCATGAGTGGGTTCACCGTCAGCTGACTGAGCCAGCACCAACCGGTTCGGTTGAACTTAGTGACTCGTGTTGTGTTTGTTGYAATTATTGCACATTTATCGACATCAGCAACATTTTTTAAATTTCTTTCTTTTAGGGTCCCCATTAGTCTCTACCTCAGCAGAGACTATTCTTCCTGGGGCCCAACACACAGAAAATAAAACACATTAAAAACAAAACAAAACAATACATCAGAAAAACAACATAATTAAAACAAAAATAAAATTAAAAATAAAATTTAATTTAATAAAAATTAAAATAAGCCAGTTCAACCTCAAACAGAGAACAATCAGCATGAAGGTCGTGAAAGCAAAAAATAAAATAAAACTACTGGCTTAGAACACCTTCAAAACCTGACAACAACAACAAATTCTGACAATGTAAATCTGAAAAGATTAACCAAAGCTTGTTTGTTTCTTGTGCGTAGGTATGGAGAGAAGGGTGAAGCTGTCCGGATTGAAAAGGTGGTGTACACAGGCAGAGAGGGGAAGAGCTCCCACGGTTGTCCTATAGCCAAGTGGGTAAGTGGGTCAACATCAAATCACATCTTCAGTGTAAGTGACGTGAAATAAAAACAAAGATAATTGTCAGTGTGACTTGGTTTTAAAAGGATTGCCATCATCTCAAAAAGTTTCTCAAAGCTCCACAATGTAACCACCCCAATGGTGGCTGACTGTATTGTCGTGCAGCAGTGACAAAGGGAGAGGTGGTTTTGAGCGTTAGGACCTCCTGGCAACAGTGACAGCCAATCAGCCACTGATTTATGCGGCCAGTGTGTGTGTGTGTATTTGTGTATAATGATGGGTGCAGGGGAGAGAAACAGGTCCGTTTGTCATCCGCAGTGGATGCATCTGTAGGTGGTCTCACTCTGTAACAAATGCCAGGCCTGCACTCCTGTTGGCCCTGACACATCCTGCTAATGACTTTATGGAATCAAAACAACCCTCCCACWGAGAGATGGGGACTGAGGGTATGTTGGAGGCAGAAGCAGAAAGAMGGCTGTGAACAAATGTGTAGACGTGGATTTTTTTTCTGCAGACTTTTYGTATTTATCAGTATACCAAAAGTCTGACTGTAAACATCAACTGTCTCTCTGTCGGTTTACCAAAATAACTGTGTGTATTGAACATCTACTGGACAAACAAAGTCAAAATTAACAACACTAGTTTGTTCAAGTCATTTTAATTCATTAMAAATCTATGTGTTTTTAAATTATAGGGGTGGAACTGAAACATTGATGAGCTCTTTGTCCTTCCAGGTGATCCGTCGAGGCAGCGAGAAAGAGAAGCTGCTGTGTCTGGTGCGTCATCGAGCTGGCCACCACTGTGCTAATGCGGTCATCATTGTTGTTATTTTGGCCTGGGAGGGCATCCCGAGGGGCTTGGCAGACAAGCTGTACGATGAAGTCACAGACACACTTACTAAATACGGGAACCCCACCAGCCGGCGCTGTGGCCTCAATGATGAGTGAGTAGTCAATGGGCAGTATTGGCTCTGGTTTACTCCTAAAAAGTAAATACAAACAGTTTAACTATGCTTGTATATTCCTTGAGAAGCTTGGTATTTGAACTCTACTCATCAGTCTTRATAAAGAACACAAGTAAACATGAAGTAAAATTAATTAGCTTGAAGTTCATTTTAATTGTGAGTCTTAAGGCCCCATCAACACAACAACAGATATTTTTTAGAGCTGCGTTTGTGCAGCTTGTTTACGCACAAACATTTCAAGAATAAACTGTTATTTTTTTAATGGTTTCAAAAGTGAAACCATTAAAAAATGGAAATGAAAAATTCAGATTTTGGTGTCTCCAGGCAAATAAGAAAACCATCCATCATCATGGRAAGTTTTGAACTTTGGTAGCATCAAGTAAAATATCATTACAACCCTGTTTATTTTTAGAATAGTTTGGTATTTTWTAAAAGTGTATTCACACAATAAGTGGACCTAACACATTCAAAACTTTGTACACAATAAAGTTATGTGTAAACTGGCTTTTTTGTCGCCTAAAGGAATCCCATTTTAACCATGCCCCTCATTTTAGACTGAAGCTCAAAGTTTACTTTCTCTGTCCCCTGCAGTCGTACCTGCGCCTGTCAGGGCAAAGACCCTGAAATGTGTGGTGCTTCCTTTTCATTCGGCTGCTCCTGGAGTATGTATTTTAATGGCTGCAAGTACGCCCGAAGCAAAATGCCGCGCAAGTTCAGGCTACAAGGAGATCACCCTGAATACGTATGTACACATCAAAGCCTCCTGATTTACAGCATTAAAAAGAAATTTAACACTGCTGACAGCAAACAAGTTTTATTTTCTATGTGTTTTTGTTGAATAATATTGAATGCTTTTAACAAACACTGATATTCTTCAATATCCATTGTTGCATTGTGTTGTTTTTTTGTTTGTTTATTTTTTATTTTTTGGTAGGAGGAAAAACTCAGGGATAACTTCCAAAATCTGGCAACTGAGGTGGCTCCTTTGTACAAGCGACTGGCACCACAGGCCTACAGTAACCAGGTTTGTTTTGTTGGGAATTACCCAACTAAATACTTCAATGCTYAAAACAACAGCTTCCATTTAGATTATTTCTAACATAGAATTGGGACTTCAAAACACCAGTGATGTACAGTAATTTAAAGCAAAATAATAAAAAAAATAATCTATATGAACATTAGGTCTCAAAAGTGTGGTGGAATA